CCCAGGCTTCCTATATGCAAAGTCTATTCTCTATCCCCTTGACCTTTCTGGCCACAATATAAAATAATGTTAATAGAATTATAACCAAATATTTGTTGGTCTTTCATCAAATCCTTGCAGACAAATAGGAGAATCGTGGCGTAGACAAGGGAAAAGATGTTTATTTGATTTAACAATCATAATCAAAGGCTACCGATTTACGGCTTGAGAGCAAGGAGGAAGACTTTCGTGAGAATTCTAGATGCTGACTTGGAGAGGCACTTGTATGCGGTCAATGGTGATTTAAACCCCCCTCCCCCACTAACACAAGTCCAAGAATAAGCCTTGAGCAACACAAGGTTTGGCCCAAATTCCTCCAACCCAAAGAATGCTAAGTTCCTGGATATAATCTTTAAAATGGTTATTATCAAGGACCTGGATGCCTTGTATGCTAAGGTCTGCTAATGAGGGAAATATGGGCTGAACAGAAACGCTGAACTACAAAATTAGGAATAAGAAGACTACTGGGAACTTGATTAACAGAATGATCTAATACAGTGAAAAATAACACAAGAAAAAAAGCAAAACTTAGGGCTGGAGCAATAGCACAGCGGGTAGGGCGTTTGCCTTGCACGCAGCCAACCCGGGTTCGATTCCCAGCATCCCATATGGTCCCCTGAGCAACGCCAGGGGTGATTCCTGAGTGCAGAACCAGGAGTAACCCCTATGCATTGCCGGGTGTGACCCAAAAGGCCAGAAAAAAAAAAAAGTAAAACTTATGTACCAAAACATAAAGCATGAGTCGTTATTTTTTAAAACTTGCATGAGCTGGGCCCCCTGATAGGATAGTAGATAAGGCACTTCCTTGCCCACAGGTGACCTGGGTTCATTTCAGGCATCCCATATGGCCCTCAGAGCATGGTCAGAGGGGTAATTACTGAGTACAGATCAGGAGTAAGAACTGCACACAGCTGGGTGCAATCCAAAATCCAAAAATGAACAAAGAAAAAATCTGCATATAATAGTAACCTGGGTGTGCAAATATGAGAACTATTAAAATAAGTAATATACTAACTTCAGAATAGTCTTAACCAATTAAGTTGAAAAATTTAAACAAACTGAGCAAACCATACTTAGGGCACACAATATATCTGAGAATAATGCATTAAAAAGAACAACTATTATATCACAGAAGCATTACATCCAGAAATCTTGGATTCGGTCCATTGCAGTACATGGTACCCTAAGAATCCCTAGGTCTGGCCAAGAATCAAATCCCATTTTCCCCACCAAAAGAACTTTGTACAATATGCACCAAAATATCTGTAATCATGATATATTTAAAAATCATGTAATTATCAGGAAGTCTTTTGAATCTACAGAATAAGACTAAATACTGATACGATGATCTCAAGTGCTTTTAATATATGATAGATTTATACTTAGATATAGCTTTATGAACAGCTAGCTATACTAGAAGCACAAGACAGAAAGAAAACCCCAAGAATTTAACTTAAATGATTTTCATGGAAAGGTTTTCTAAGAACATAATGAACATCATTACTGTACTCTAGACTCAAAGAATAAAGCATTTCTCAGTGATATTTTAGAAGTTAAAATAATGCAAAAATAATAAGCAATCCAGAAATTACTAAAGTACTAAAGTACAATATATAAGCAAAAATTAAATTCCTACGATATTTCAAAGGCCAGCCACTGACTGTTTTAATTATGTATTTTTCATGAGGATGCCAAAACCTGAGCTAAGATAACATTTAAAAGTAATTTCTGGGGGCTGGAGCAACAGCACAGCAGGTAGGGCGTTTGCCTTGCATGCCATTGACCCCAGTTCAATTCCCAGCATCCTATATGGCCCCCGAAGCACCACCAGGAATAATTCCTGAGTGCATGAGCCATGAGTAACCCCTGTGCATCACCAGGTGTGATCCAAAAAGAGAAAAAAAAAAAGTAATTTGTGAGGCTAGAGCAATAGCACAGCAAGTAGAGATCTTGCACTAGGCAGAAGTTGGTTCGTTCCCTGGCATCCTATTTGGTACCCTGATCACTGGTAGGAGCAATCCCAGGAGCACAGAGCCAGGAGTGGCACAAAAAAAAAAATAAATCAAAAGAATTCTACTCAGGGCTGGAGTGATAACACAGTGGGTAGGACTTTTGCCCTGCACACGGCCAACCCAGGTTCAATTCCCAGCATCCCATATGGTCCCCTGAGCACCACCAGGAGTAATACCTGAGTGCATGAACCAGGAGTAACCCCTGTGCATCGCCAGGTGTGACCCAAAAAAGAAAAAAAAAAATTCTACTCAGCCTTAACCAAGTCAAAGAGCATTTCTTCGTTTAGCTGAGTTTTTCATGTCTTTAAGAAAAAAAAAAATTCACGCACTGCAAGAGTGGCTGACCCTGGTTTAATCTAAGGTGGTGTATAGTTCCCTGAGTACTGCTAGGAGTGACACCTGACACAACAAGGAGTAACCCCGACATACCAACGAATGTGATACCAACATACATAAGTACACGTGTGTGTACACAGAGGTATATATATATAAAACCAAAATGTTTTCTATTTTTTGAACCACTGAATTTGAAAATGCAAATGAATTAGTATGTATGTCTGAAGTGTTAATTCATCCACTTACTTCAAATGAATAAATAAGTATTCATTCCTAGCTCATGGGAATTCTTATTAAAAACAAACAATACCCTACCATTGAAGCAGCATTTTAAGTAACAGAAAACCAAGGAATGATTAATCCTGTAAAATGAACTGCGTATCTTCTCTCCTATTGCTTCAGGAGCTTTATTACAGTCTGACAACCTACAACCCATATGCTATTATAGAGGAGACTATATCAGCTAAAGATTAGAAAAAATAAAAGTACAGCAGCACAAAGATGGGCAGAGGTATTTACTAACAAAAACAAGGCTAAGCATATTCAAACAGTAATGGCATTGGGTATACTTTCTTTCAAACTGAATTTAGATCTCTGGAATAAAGACTGAATTTTAATACTTTAACATAATGTGTGAATTCTGCAAAAACTCTTCAGAAACAAAACAGAAAAAAGAGACTTATGTCATTAGTATGCTTGGTATGATTCAATTTTTATTAAATTAGGTGCCACAGAGAAAAATTGAGGGGTCAGAGAAACAGCATAGGAAGCAGACCTCATTTGAACCCAGGCACTATGGTCACTGAGCATCACCAAGATGTGGCCTGATGATCTCAAGTCCTCACCCTGAACCTTACATCATTGACCAAGAATCCGCTGGTCTTTGAGAATCACCAGGAGGTACCCTACTAAAGTTTCCTAAAAAAGAGAGAGGCTGAAAAATCTCACTTCAATTCCTGCCACATTATCACTCACAAGGTGATATAGAAAACTAATCTTTCTAAACCTTCATTTTCTTGTACGATAAGAACAAAATAGGGGCAATATAAGATCCCTACCCTGTTTATAGTAATATTTATAGTATTTATTTATGTGAAGGTTAAGTAAAACCATGTATGGAAAAGCACTTTTTAAATTGTCAGTAACTATACAATGTAACCGATATTAACATATTAACAATATATCCAAAAGCCAAGAAAGATTACAAAGTATAACTTATACTAAACATAAAGCTTAATGGTATTAATATATTATTGGGAATAAAATCTGTTACAGGTAAAAAAATTTCAAAATTTCAACTTATAAATGTTATTATTTTAAATAATGAGGTATTACTCTACATTTCTCAAAGGTCTTAAAATTTACTTGTCCTCAAGGAAAAGGGTTAAAAACAACCTCTTCACTGGTAGAGGGACTCGTTCAACTGTCAGTAACATTGTAAATCATGGCTCTTTAATAAATAATTTGTTAAAAAAATTTTTTAAAAAGGGGCTGGAGCAATAGCACAGCAGGTAGGGAGTTTGCCTGGCATGCAGCCGACCTGGGCTCGATTCCCAGCATCCCATATGGTACTCCGAGCACTGCCAGAAGTAATTCCCGAGTGCATGAGCCAGGAGTAACCCCTATGAGTCTCCGGGTGTGACCCAAAAAGAAAATAAAAAATTAAGTTTTTTAATTAAAAAACTTGTGGAAACTAGTAACACAGGGCAGGTAACAGCTAACAATCAAAAAAGCATAGAGATTCAGTGAAAAAGGGAGAGAGAAATAAGTAGCATAAAGATAAACTGGAGGGGGGACTGGCTAGGAAGCTTTTGGTCAAAGTATGAGAATTTGCAACAACAGATCTAATAATCCTTTCTTCACAACGTGCTACCACACTGTAAAATATCTAGAGTTTACCATCACTTATGAAGAAAAAGTTAACAATAAAATAAACAACAAAAGCATATTCACTTCTCTAGTTAAATGCCTTGGGAAAGATTACATTGAAGTCTGGGCACTTTCCTAAATAATCTCAAGAAAAGTACCAAGACCAACTTGTGTGTCTTGATGGTATATACAATTTTGAACTCTGAACAGTGTTACACACACTAGTGATTTAGCTATATCTTTCTACTGGGGATTTCATCAATATAAATTCAACTGGGATGTTCACTGCCGAAACTCATATACTAACATAGCTGGACCAAATCTGATTAAGCAAGAAGCTGATTAAGAAAACATACTAATTTTGCATTGATTTCTTTATTTTGAAGAATTACTTATCCTATTTAGTCTTCTCCATTTGTAAAATAAGTTATCAAATATAATACAGATTGCCATCTGCCAGGACAGTGTAGAGGAATTCCCTCTATTGTAAAGCGCTTGGGGAAAATTAGTTTTCCTATTACTTAAAAATTATATAATCCTTTTAATATATTGTCCCCCAAATAAAATAGAGGTGAAGGGCCTCAGACAACTCAGATAAAATTGAACAAAATGGTCCTTCTTTGGGATATCTGGAGACAAATGATATCAAAACAATTTTAAAGCACTTTTTTTTTTCTAGTCTAATAATGCTCTCCCTCTCTCTCTCTCTCTCTCTCCCTCTCTTTTTCTCTCTAGAAAATTTACCTTTATCCTTATCCAATGGTTCCTGGGAAAGAATAGTGCACAGTACCGGGTTTTTCCACACCCCAGTCTCTTGAGCTAGAGTAGCTAAAAAATGCAATTCACAGCTGCCATTCTCCATCAGCTTTTCATGAGCTACCTATAAATATTAAATAAACATCCAAAGAATTACAACAGATTTTTAAAAGCAAGCTTATCAAGCTTTAAATATACACTAAATTTTGAAAAGATTTTATCTTAAAATTTTCATGTCACATTACAAAATGCCGAACTCTTTTACCTCTAATTTTAAAAGATGTCAAAGATAAGAAATAAATAAATTGTAAGCTTTAAATCAACAGTGTACTTAAAGAAGTCCATATAATCCCCCCAATCTAAACCATGAGCTGTTACTCCACAAGGAAACTGTTAAAGAGTATCTATAGTATTAAAGCTCTTATACATTTTTAATACTGAGTAAAAGGATTTCCAAAAAACTACTGTCTCTTAGGCCTTTTATAGGGGACTAAGTGACAATACACAAATTTTAAGAAAGAAAACTATTATTAAAAACCACCAAATGTGTGCTTTTTAATTTTCTCATTATATAACTAACACTGAACCTTGATTACAAGTTGTATATATGTATTCATACATGTGACATTCTTCGGGACACCAAAAACCAGCAAGAGTCATTAAATTTAAAAAGACTTTACTGAAACTTTCTATGGGCAAATTTCTAGGGAAGGAAGCAACCAGTTCTTGTACTTATGGAAATTATCCTCTAGTGGAGTCAGGAATGTCTAAATGCTTAAAACCCACACAGAATGAAGCAAACACTATTAAGCAGGTATAAACTAACCTGGAAAAAGCTCTAAATGAGAGCAGAGTGCCATGCAAATTCTTAACGCTGTGTTCTGTGCTTTAGAAAACTGTTCAAGTGATAAATCTTTCCACCGCAACTAGTTCATGTGCTATAAATAACTTTCTTTAAGAAGTTTATGAAAGCTCCCATAAGTGGAATTTAAAAGTTATTTTCCCTCTTACTAGCCCTATGAAAAAGCATCAATTACTGCTATATTTTTAAACTGGAAAATTTAGAAGTTTTTCTTACATTGAAAAAATAAGTAGCATGAGGAACCTGTTATATTTTTATACCAACAACTTAATTCTATAACAGAACAAATTTAAATGCCAAATAATGTAAAGAACTCTGAAAGATTTACCTTTAAAAATAAAGTTTGCTGGGGGGGAAAAAAAAACTAAGACATAAGTTACTGATATGCTGAAGCAGGCAACTGCATGATCAAAAAGTTAGTTGCAATGTAACAAATAGGACAAGACATCTTCATTTCAACAAACAGTTATTAAATATCTATCATGTGTAAGACGACACCATGTGGAATCCTATGATATTAAGCTATTACGATTCCTACCTTCAAGAATTTTGCACTTGATGTAGATCTTAATGTTTAATAATAGGAAAGTTGATTTCTCTAACTATACTTTATTTGAGACTAACCCTCTTCAATATATCTCCTATAGAAAAACATAAGGACAAAAGATGTTTTAAGAACTATTGACTAGAGAAATAGACAACTATACTTTTTGAAACTAGTTAGGATCATTCCTTTTGACTAACAAAATCTACTTAAAAGAAATAATATATCCAGCACAATCTAGTGCTTGAAACAAAAGTTAACATTCTTAAAAAGAAAGCTAAGTGCTAAATTCTATAGGACTTACATACTTAAAATAACAATAATAAAAGAAACAGCATGCGTTTTCAGATATAGGAGAAAAAGCATGGACTTTGGCATAAAGAAACTCTGGTTCAAATACCTACTTTGTGATACTAAGTGTAAAACTTGGGCAAATGAATTAAGTATGAGCCTCAGTTTCCTCACCTTTAATACGGGACAGATATATCTACAACCACAAAGGATTAAATGAGATGTTAAAATTCTTATAAAATATACTGCAGATTTTCAGCATTTAGTTGTTTCTAAATGCAAATGTAGCATTTTCTTTTGTGTCCCCTTACTTCTTTGGCAAAGTCCTAATTTGTTTCAGCTTAAAGAACTATGCATATTCAATCTACCTAAATTCATTCTAATATAAACCCATTTCACAAATACTCACTGAGTACCTACTATATACAAGACACCACCATATTACTAAGAACAGCAGGTCTGTAATGATTTAGATGTTTTAAAGTTTAACCAAATTATTAAAAAATATGATGAAAGATATACCTTATCAAATCTAATAGTAAGTATTCTCACCTGTACCAGTGCCTGAAACTGTTCCCACTGTTTATCTGACAACTCAACAGGCAAACACAGTAAAAGTTCAACACAGCTTCTAAAAAGCAAAAGATTGATAAAAACACATTAATCAACATTAAAATTCAAGGTAAAATAAAGCTAATCATTCTAATAGCATCAGCAAACTTCGCATAGCTTATCTATTTTAATTTGAATTACAATAAAATCTATGCTATGAAGAGGAAAGAAAAAATAAGCTACATCTATTTTTAATTTACTCAAAAATCTACTCACAATGCCAAGCGTTCCAGAACCAACGCTACATTTTCACATTCAGAGGTAAGATAAGGCCGGGCTTTAACATAACTTTGGATAGCCACTGTGTATACCTCCAACAAAGGTAAGGGATCTTCTGAAGTTTTCCACTTCTCTGCATACTCAAGGAGTGTCTGTTTTGGAAGGAATAATAAAAAATATTTAATGTAAACCAACAGATAAATAAACTTTTTCTTTACTCCTTGAAATATTTTATAAAATAACAATTTTACTCATAAAAACAAAGTTGATTTATATTAAAAGTATTATATTATAGTCATAGCATCAGAAAGTTCTCTGTAGGAGAAAATATTAGTGTTAATTTAACAATAACATAATTTTAAGAAAGCTAGTTTTGTGTGTTGATGCCTTTCTTTCCTAGCCAAAACACCACCTTATCTCCCCAATAATACTTAAAAAGTGTGTCTGACCAGGCATGCTTGACTGGCATGCAGCAAAGGCTTTTAAAAAAACACTTAAATCTTCTATTTAGGTGGAAAAACATTCAATACCTAACAATAAATAAATTACATATTGTCAAAAAGATGTACTTTTTGTGCATGAGAAACACTACAATGGTAAAGTGTTTGCCTTGCATGCAGGATGACCAGGACCTGAGTATGTATCCCATGGGATCACATACGGTCCCCCAAGTACCACCAATAGCGGTCCTTGAGCACAGAGCCAGGAGTAAGCCCGGAGCACTGTCAGTGTGGTCCCCCAAACAACAACAACAAAATTACCAAGAAGGTGATTTTTCATGATCATTATAATTATCATTAAATAATTTATTCCAATATGTTCCTGGGTTGGGGAAATAGGACAACGGGTAGGGCATTTGCCTAACATGCAGCCAACCCGGGTTCAAACCCCTCAACTGGTTCCCCTAGCACTGCCAGGAGTAGTTCCCGATTGCAGAGCCAGGAAAACCCCTGAGCATCACTGAGTGTGGCCACAGGGGGAAAAAAAAAAGTCCATATATATATATGAAAATACTACAGCACTTAGCACTGAACTGTCCAAGTCTAATAGATACCTGGAAAATAAAGTTATGAGGCAAACACCACACAGACACATACACAAATACTATGCAGTCACAATGATAAAATCATGCAATCCACTACACAAATTGGATAGAACTGGAGGATATCATGTTAAGTAAATCAGAAGGAGAACAACAAATACTGGATGCTATCCCTTGAATAATTAGGTAAGTAAATGAAGGCATCAAAGGACAAACATCTTGCCCTAGATTACAGAAACGAAAATGCCAATGAAGAAGAAAACCAGAGTGGGGGGCAATGGACATGGTAGTGTAGAGGTAGGGTATCTGTAAACTACTCGACCTAATACTACTGTAAGGACAAGACCCAAACTACAACAATTAAACCTAAAAATATGTCTAATAAGGAGGGTAGGTTGAAAGTAAGTGGGAAGAAACCTGGTGAAGGAACGCTGATGCTGGCAGGGGTGGAACTGAAGATGGAATAGTTTACACCTGAAACAATTATTAACAGTTTTGCAAATCAGAGTTGCCAAAAATCATTTAAGGGACAGGGAAGCAGCTCAGTGTAAAGTGCATGTTTCATTCAAAACCCAGGTGTTCAATCTCTGGTAACACTCCCACAATGCAACACACACACACACACACACACACACACAGAGTACTACTACCCACAAGATCTTCAACATACATTAATAGGTAAAGTAATTTTTAAATAAAGTCCTTATCGTAACACAATACTTAAGTACTTAGTCCTTAATGAAGTAAATATTTCAAATTCACCAAATACTGAAAGGGAAAAAATACTGCTTATCCAAAATTAAATACTGCTTAAAAGGCAAAATTCAACTGAGCAATTGTTACGATCTTACTGGCTCTATACAATGATTCATGACTCCAGCAGCATCCCAACTAGTAGAGAGAAGAAGCTCCAAAGAGCAACATAAAAGCAGAGGGGATGAAACAAGAAGTTATTAGTGCCATTAGCAAAGCAGGTTTTCCAGGCAAGGTTACCTTCCTTTGGGAATCAGATTAGTTGACCAGGAAGTCCCAGATGGGTTAGTATTATGTTCCCGGTAAACAATAAAGTTTCATGAAGTTACATACTAAGTGTGTTAGAGGACATGGGCTAAGCATAAGCAATGGCATCTGAAATGTTTGTGTCTTTTTAAATAATCCTACAGTTAAAAAAAAAAAGATGAAAAACGTGGTAATAGCAGTTAAAAAGACAATCCACAGGAAAAGACTCTACAACTACTTTAAGTCACTAAAAACAACAAAAGGTTCTACAATGAGCTAAACAAAACAACACTGTAGGACCAGAGAGAGAGTACAATGGGTAAGGCACTTGCCTTGCATGTGCCTGACCCGGGTTGGATTCCCAGCATCCCATATGGTCCCCTGAGCACCGCCAGGAATGATTCCTGAGTGCTGAGCCAGGAGGAACCCCTGAGTATCATCGGGTGTGGCCTAAAGACAAACAACAAATAAAAACAAAAACAAAACAAAACAAAAAAAAACAAGACTAATAAAATGCTTTTATGACAAATAAGACTACCACAATTGGTACTCTGCACATTTCAGGAAGGAAGGAGGGGTAGGGTTTGTGTTTTACTATCAGATACACAACAGAAAATATTCAAAAGGAAACTGTCTTTTCCTCTAATAACTTCTAACTAGCAGAAACTGTAAGTGATCTGAGAGAATGAAGATGAAATAACAGAAAAAGATAATCTGGTAAATTAAACCTAATTAACTCGTGTTCTGAGTAGACATATTCATAGATCTTGACCCACTCCAAGTTAGTCCACAGCAACCTGGATATTGTCTTGGTATCTGAAATCGGATCTTAAGTGAGAACAGTCTTGTGAGACTGGGCCCTGTATTTCAATGACAGGGTAGGTCAAAATCAAAGCAAACAGTACTATAACTTTGTTGAAGAAGTGGTATTGTAAAATAGTATTTGGTGAAAGCACTAATAACAGTGATGATGGTAAGGATAATGTCTCAACAGAACTTAACAAAGAAATCAGAAAGCACAAAAGAGATGAGTTGGATGGAGCTCAAGTCTTGCACGTATGAGGTCCTGAACGTAGTAATCAGCACAACATATCTCCACCTCTCTCTGGCAGTGTGTGACTGGTGGTTCTACCAGCCCCTAGCACTAAGAGTAAGGCCCCTATTAAGGGGGGGAAAAAAGGGTAAAGGAATCTAGATAAAGCTACCAAGCAAGTGGGAAATATCTGTATTCAGGGGGTCTTTTATAATTTATTCCTCTATATCCAGGAATGAAACTGAGGATATTATTCTGAGTCTTAAAACAAAACAGGGCCAAGTATCAGCATGGCTGATTCAGGTGTTTTATGGCAATGGGACACAGAATAGCCTACTCACATCTTAAGGATTTCAAAATAACAACTAAGCAAGCAATTCTTGCTTCAGCTAGCATCTGTATTTCTACACAAGTTATTTAAAAAAAAAAAAAAACCTCCCCTTGGAGCTGGAGTGGGGCTTTTGCCTTGCATGTGGCCGACCCAGGTTCGGTTCCCAGCATCCCATATGGTCCCTGAGCACCACCAGGAGTAATTCCTGAGTACAGAGCCAGGAGTAATCCCTGTGTATTGCCAGATGTGACTCAAAAAGAAAAAACAAAAAAACTCCCCTTTATGAAAAAAATCATGTTTGTCCCAGAATTTCAAGTTTGGAACATGCGCCCAATTTATACAAGGATTAGATCAAATATTTAGATTAACCTACTAATTATTCTAGTGACTCAAATTCCTTAGTTTAATAGAAAATACATCACAGTAATTTCCCAGTATTAAAATAGAGACTTTTCCCTTTCTTCTCTTGCAATTCTCTCCAAAAAGCCTTAAAGTCATATATAGTCATATGTGTACACAGGTCAGTTCTGCAAATAAAATATTAAGCTCTTTATAGAATTAAATATTTTACTTAGGATGCTATTAAGTAACTATTTATATCAAGCAGTAATATTAACATCAAAGAAAACTTTTAAACTTCTAATATGTAACCAAGTGAATAATAACTGGTAAGTCACAAAACATCAGAACAAATAGCACTTTAAAAAATGACCTCCCAATATGTATAAAAGTCACTGGTCAGAAGAGAAATGCAAATCAAAATAACAATGAGACAAATGAGACTAGTACATATCTCAAAGAACAAAAACAACCAGTGTTGGCATATAAGGGGAAAAAGGAAACCTGATCCACCACTGGTGGGAATATCAACTGAACCACCTCTTGGGAAAACAATATGAACACTTCTCAAAAAAAAACTGGGAACTGAGCTACCATGATGTAGTAATTCCACGTCTTGGCACTTATACCAAAGGCTCCAAAACTGTTTTTCAAAGACATTGGTGCCCCTATGTTTACTGCAGGACTATTCACAATAGCCAAAACCTGGAAACTGCCAAACTGTCCAATGACAGATGACTGGATAAAAGAATTCTGATACATATACACAATGAAATGCTACTTGGCTATTAAGACGAAACTGTGCAATTTGCCAGTACCTGGATGTAAAGAGGGGGGATAGGGGGACATCATGATAAGTGAAGTCAACCAGCAGAGGAACAGACACAGAATGATCTTACTCATGTGTGGAATATAAAATAGCATAATAAGCGAATAACAATAGTCAAGGGTAACAGAACTTGACAACTGGTCTACAGAACTGACCATTTTAGGGCAGGGAGATGGAATGTAAGGGAGTTGTTTCTGGGAAAACCCTACAATGGTGGAGGAAAGCCAACATTCTAGTGAGGCTATGAGGCTGGACTGCTGTATGCATGAAACCATATCAGTAACCATGGAAATCACAGTGGTTAAAATTTTTTAAATATTTTAGAGGAAAAATTTTTTTCATTTCATTTTACAAGTAACAAAAGAGAAGTAAATTTTGGTAAAAAAAATTTTTAAAAGACCAATTAGACGAGGCTACTTAATAGTCTAGAAATAGTATAATACAAAGAAGCTATAAAAGGTAATTTCAGATTATAAAATTATACAAAAAGGAAAGACCATTAAAATTATCATACTGATTAGATATAGGGAACAAACTAAAAGGTGAATTAAAAAGCAAATATCAGTAAAAGACTAAGTT